ATATTAGTATGTCTATAATAATAATATAAAATAAAAGAAATAATAAATAAAAAAATTAATTAATAATTGTAAAAATTTGTATTTGTATGTATACTAGTAAATGTATATTAATATTAGTATATCTACATCTAAATAACTAATAATTATAAAATAATTATAAATTTGAAAAATTTGAAAATCTAAAATAATTAGTGATACAAATAATAAATAATAAACAATTGTATTAGTATTTCTGTAAATAAAATAAAGACATAAACAAACAAATAAACACATGTATACATTATGTAAATTAGTATTATTATGTTTATTAAATAAACAAACAAACAAAGTCTAATTCTTCAAAATGACTGTCCATACAAGGTGATGTGGAAACCGCACCAGATGTCATATGCTCAAAGGCTAATATTCTGAATGTAGAATTTGGCAGAAGAAGCAAGTGTTTAAAGCTTTGTGTGTGTGTGTGTGTGTGTGCATGTGTGTGTGTGTGTGTGTATGTGGTACACATGTGTGTGGTGTCCAGTGAAATTTAACACCAGACCGGCCCACGGCTTCCACAGGACGATAAAAAGACCACACAATGATTGCATGCTTCACTGCTGCTCTATTGTTCCACACAAGAGAAACAACTGAGAGAATATGAGACGCAGGGAACAAACATTTAAACACCTGTGAAAGTAAAACTAGCATTTTGTGGCTTGTAGTTCATGTCTATTAGACTGTGATGCTTACATTTGATTCTAAACACTGACAAAGAATATGCATTTAAAATGTCTTTCAAAGAAAATGAATCAAAAATATTGATTGAGCACACCCAAGGTCACAATTTAAGATGAAATAAAATAAAATAAATATTACCAAATAAGTAAATAAATAAATATTAGTATAAAATAAAATAAAAATAGCAAATAAATAAATAAATATTACTAAGTGTATAAAATAAATACATGTATATTGCATGTTTAAATTATTTTCATGATAATTAAACATATTTTCCCACCAAATTCATACTACTTTAAATGTAAAATATTTGTTTTGATGCTTAGAATACATAAATATTCATTATGATAAATACTTTACATATTTTATTTTATGCTGAATAAAATTAAAAAGGGCTGTCAAACTATAACCATAAAAATCTAAATTTTTTGTTGTTAATTTGTTAACTTTTTTTTTACAATACAGTAATTTAGATTTAATATTTTTAGCTGTAAAATGTGTGCTTGATTGTCATGCAAAAAATGTAATTGTCAAAAAAAAATAATTGTCATAAAAATAGGCTTCATATTCTTTGTGCAAAATAAAATTCAATGTTTTATCTTGATTTTGCTATATTTATAAATACTTCACACATTTTAATTTCTTCTGAATTAAATAAAAAATGCTTAAAATATTTAATTACAATTTTATTTATTTTTTGTTTATTGTGAAAAATGTGCTTAATTGTCATGAAAATAATTTTACAATGCAACAAAAAATTCATGGTCATTAAAAAGGCTTCATTTCCTTTGTGCCAAATAAAATATTAATGCAAACTTTTTATCTTGATTTTAAGGTGAAATATGACCTGTTTTTTCTCTACAATCTATGTAGGCTTGCAATCTTTTGGGAATCGCAGCTCTGGGAACTTCAAGGATTTTTTTTTTTTTTTTTAAGTAAAAAAAAGAAGACAAAAGCAGATATGTGATATTGGCCCATCCGTATCAGTGTAATCCAATTTAGCTTCCATTCTCTCTTAACATCAGATTTTAACATCCATCCAGCAATCCTTAAACACACAGACTTATCAGCATTTCCTAAATCACGCAGCTGTCATTCAGTCGTCTTCTGACAATAAACCCAACCTTTACTCCAATTACTGATGCTTCAGGGCTGGTTTTCACTGCTATTGTATGATCTGATGAGACCGAAGTGAAATATGATATAGTTTTTCTGAGCACTCAATCACTTAATATCGCTGCGTTTTGTCAGTGTCAGAAAGCGTGACACCCATTAGCGTGCAGCTTTGTTCATCTTGCACACAAACTCAAGTTTGCATGTGGTTCTCGCGGCGCATGAGGAATCCCAGCGCTGCAAACCGGCCACAAAAGCCCTATAAATAACCTCCCGCAGGCCTGCGAGAGCCTGGATGTGGCATTCGGCGCTGGAATCTAATGAAATCAGAGCCGTTTGAGTGCCATCAGCGGAGCGGCCGTCTAATCACGCTGATTCGACAGAGACTGAAGCGAACGAGTGTCAATAAAAACCAAATCCAAACACTTCACTTCCACCTGTTGAGAGCTGATGTCCGTCAGTCACACAAAAACACATTAATAACACAATCTAATCACATGATGCCATTAGAGCCAGGATGTAGGACACATCCATACCGAGTTATTACCGGGCAAACCTGAGATCCGATCTGTCTGACTGACTGTCGTCTGTCTGTCTGGGCCATACTGATGAACACAAGATGAAAACATTGTCATGCAGTTTCTATTAGAGTCGCATGGTTTGGGGGAAAAAAATCTAATTGCACTTTTTATGATAAAAGCTGCGAATGCAACTTAAAATGCTTTTTTTTTTTAATCAGGTTTGTTGTTTGTAGGGCTGCACAATTTGGCAAAACTTTTGTTATTATACTGTATACCAATATGGCCATAAAATACTACTACTACTATTAATAATAATAATCTGCACAATTTGGGGAAAAATAAAAATTGTGATTTTTCTGAAAAAATTGAGACTGCAATTTTAAATGAGATTTTAAAAAATCAGGTTTGTTGTTTTATTTATCGTGCAGCCCTAGTTTCTCTGATGCAATATGCAGGTGATGTAATCATATAAATGTCTAAATCATCACAATGTCCAAAGCGAGAATGGCACAAGTAGAGCAATGTGCAAGCGAGCAGAAAAACAAACGCATCGAATTCTGGCAAATTATGGGTCATCAGAGTTTGAACTATGAGGCGTTTCTCAGAACGAGCTCAAGTCTTCTCTAAAGAATCACAAAGACAGATACACAGAGATGCACAGAGACACGCAGAGACATACAGAGACACACTGAGAGAGACAGAGAGACACACAGAGACAGAGACACACCAAGACTCTCAGAGACACACAGAGACACACTGAGACACGCAGAGACACTCAGAGACACGCTGAGAGAGACAGAGACACACCAAGACACTCAGAGACACACTGAGACACGCAGAGACACTCAGAGACACGCTGAGAGAGACAGAGACACACCAAGACACTCAGAGACACACTGAGAGAGACAGAGACATACCAAGACACTCAGAGACACATAGAGACACACTAAGAGAGACAGAGACACACCAAGACACT